TATGGAATTTCTGTTCTAGTTGTAAAGACTAGTGGCATCTTAAAGACTAGAATGTTTGTCATAAACTTTCATAGCTTTTCACTAGATGCATGAAGTGTCACCTTAGCAGATCACTATACATTTGCTTGGGTGGGTAAGGAAGGTGGGATGGGATTATCATCAGTGGGATGTGAGGGAACTCAGATGTATTTGTTTTGTAGCATAAAAGTGCAAAATCTTAAAAATTAATTGTTTAAACTTTTTATTAGTGATGCAACTGAACTCGTACGTGCATATATCATAGTGCACTATGAATCATCATGGATTCTGTATATGAACCAACCATATGATGGATTGATGCCACCTACTCCCACAGTCAAAAGCAGCATTTTGGTAATTTTATCCCAACGCAGTATTGATATCAAAACTGTCTTTTAAAGAGGAAAAAGCAGTCCGAAAAATATGTTAACCCTGCATCTCTGTCAGGACTGGCACCAGTTTTGATGGTGGCCTAACAAACCACCACCACCTTCCCCTGCCATAAGCACAGGGAAACTTTCTAAGGTACAGCTAGATAACTTTTACTGGCCAGAGCAGAGGCAAAAGTTGGAGGGGCAGAAAGATTTGGGCATCAGTCACACATACAAAAAGTTTATCTGGAGAAAGGTTTTCACAGGTAACGACAAAAATACTACGTATCAGAAAGTAATTTGCTTCTAAAAAGCAAATCAGTTTAAAATGTTTTCCACATGCAAGATAGTTGTGTAAATGACAGTAAATGCATATTGTAGAAGTCATCCCACTATAATTACCTGAACTGCTAGCAAAATCCTGTGGAGAAACTGTCAATTTGAAATTTCTTCAAATATGTTACTTTCAACAGCCAAAATTACTAAATTTGCTTTTCTTTGATGGAATAGTGAATGCCAGTATGGTGTCAGCACATGGGTCAAAGTTGAGAATAATTTTTTTTCACAGCAGTAGATGCAACAACGGTAAGCCTTGCAATATACAAACTGGTGTGTCTTCAAGTTGTTTCTGACTTATGGCAATTCTAAGATGACCCCTCATTCCAATCATTGGATTTTCTTGGCAAGATCTGTAAGGAAGGTTTGCTTTTGCCTTCCTCTGAGGCTTGCTTAAAGACATTCAGTGGGTTTCCATGGCTGAGGGATCTGAACCCTGGTCTCCTGAGTCATAGCCCAACACTTAATCCACACTACACCATGCTGACTCTCAAATTATCCATGCATGGAAAAGCTTCCCTGTATGTGTACAATGTTCTAGTAATTCAAAGACAAAGCCATGTTCGTCTTGATCAGTATGCAAAGGGATCTTGTAGCAAGACCTGCACCCAAGTCTTACAGACAACTACTATTATAGAACAGACTAAAGATAGGAAATTATAGAACCCACTAGTGGTCACATACAGTTCCCAACTGAGACCACTCAGATGTATCAATGAATTACAACCCACTCTGGACAACAATGCTGCTGCCCTCTCAAGAGCTCTTGGGGGCAGGCCTTTACTTGCCTGCAAACAGTCTCTCAATCTCACTTACCTACAGGAAGACACAATATGGATGGGGAGATGGGTACTAGACCTTGCCACAAACCCAGATGCTAACTGCCCACACATCTGCTTGGAAAATGTCGTCACAGGGTCTAATCCCCTCACCCACAATATTAGAGGTACTTCCATTTACTCATCCTCTAATGTGAAATATGCCATCCTCTGTCAAGAATGCCCTTCAGCACTCTACACTGGGCAAATGGGAGTCTCTGTGCCAGAGGATAAATGGATATAAATTGGACATTAGGGATGGAAATATACAAAAACCAGTTGCAGAACTGTTTGGTCTTCCTAGGCATTAAGTCTCCCACCTCAGAACAGCAGTCCTTGAAAACAACAACAAGAAAGTACAATGCAAGGCTGGAAAGAAACAACAGAATTGGGCAGACCAGCAAGCTCCAGTCCATCAAGAGTGGGTTGAATAGCAACACTGCACCAGTTAACTCAGCTACGCTAGTTAACGCACCCGCCTCATGAGGCCTCTCTTGCCAAGTTTATCACATCTCCTTTCTGTTCCCAGCCAGCCTCATGCTACTATATTCCAATAACTCCTCTACTATTCATAGGATGATGAAGCAGACTTACAAAAGCTTATGCTACCAACTTCTTTGTTAGTCTCAAAGGTGCTACAAGATTCCTTTCCACAATGGTTCATAAAGTGTTAGTGTTTGGACAGCAGTAATCTTTTGCAGGATCTAAAAAAAAAAAAAAACATTTTTGTGCCTAAACTATTTCTAAATGCTAGAAATGTGAGGACTAAAGGAAAAATTTCATGAGGGGAAAGTAAGATTCTTACTTGAGGCAGTGTCATGCATTCAAACACATTGCCCAGAAAGGGGCAAAAAAGCTCATGAAATATAGACTAATGTGACTGTTAGGTGGATCTGTAGTTGGTTGACTGACCAAATTCAAAGGGAGCTCACCAATTGCTCCCCTTCATCCTGGAGATAAGTTACTATTGGGATGCCACAGTCACTTCTCTTCCAAGTCTACGATTCTATGAATATTGGGATGGTATTTCTGTCCTGGACCCAGTGATATTCAACATCTTTATCAGTGACTTGGATGAAGGAATGAATAGAGGGCATGCTTATCAAATTTGCAGAAGACACCAAATTATAGGAGGGGTAGTTAATACCCCAGAGGACAGGATCAGAATTCAAAATGACCTCAACCGATTAGAGAGCCGGGCCAAAACTAACAAAATGAATTTCAACAGGGAGAAATGGAAAGTACTACACCTAGGTTAAAAAAAAATTAAATGCACACATACAGGATGGGGGACACCTGGCTAGACAGTCCATATGAAAGGGATCTTAGTAGACTAGATGAATATGAGTCAGCAGTGTGATGCAGCAGCTAAAAAAGCAAATATGATCCTAGGCTGCATCAATAGGTGTGTATTGTCTAGAGGGAAAGTAATAGTGCCACTCTATACTGCGTCCAGTTTCGGGCACTACAATTCAAAAGAGATTTTGACAAGCTGGTGTCTGTTCAGAGGACAGTAACCAAAATGGTGAAAGATCTGGAAGCCATGCCCTATGAGGAGAGACTTAGGGCCTGAACAGACTTTAACTGTCCTGGCTTAATGCTTGGGAATTGTATTTTTTTAAGAGACATTGAGCCTTCTCTGTCAGGGAGCTCTGGTGCCACAATAAACTACAGTTCCAATGATTCCCTAGCATTGAACCAGGGCAATTAAAGTGGTCTCAAGCTGGATTATATTTCTGGCAGTCTGTTCAGGCCCTTAGGGGACTGGGTGTGCTTAGTATGGAGAAGAGAAGGTTAAGTGACATGATAGCCATGTTTAAATATTTGAAGGGATGTCATGTTGAGAATGGAGCAAGCTTGTTTTCTGATGCTCCAGAGATTAGGATTAGGACCCAACGCAATGGATTCAAGACAGATAAAAAGAGATTCCACCTAAACATTAGGGAGAGCTTCCTGACAGTGAGAGCTGTTTGACGGTCGAATATGCTGCCTCAGTGTGGTGGAGTCTCCTCCTTTAGAGGTTTTTAGACAGAGGCTGAATGACCATCTGTCTGGAGTGCTTTGATTGTGTATGATTCTATGAATACTGGGATGGTATTTTTGATACACCTTTGGATCCAAGAAGGAAGTTTTTTGGTTGGATTTTTTTTTTCAGAAGGGACACTGCAACTTCCTTGAAGACAATAGTATTCTCCTCCTGACAATAATCAGCCCCATTCTTGTAGATGTTATCAAGGAAAATGACCAACGGTTGAATTTATATGCATGAGTGGTTGATTCAAATGTCTTTTCCACATCACCCAGCTGCTGCAACAAATCCTCAAAAACTTAACCAGGTTGTAAACTAAGATTCTCTGTGCAATAACTGGGCAGTTGATAAACCCTGATTTTACAGGAGGAAGGCTATGTATTTCCTAATACAAAACCAATCTTCTAAAATGCTCCCCCTCCCCACATCCTATATAATATGACCTAAGATACCTTATGCAATATAGCACATGTGTCCAAAAAATTATTGCTGACAGTTGTTAACAATAGCTACATAGACTCCACATGCACATGGAAGCTATTTTTGATGGCTAATGGCTGCTTACATTACAAAAAAAATTAGGCCTACACATTATAATTCTATGCCCTTGATGAATCAGTGGGGCCTCTGAGGTAACTGTTTGCTGCTACAGCAAATGCAGGCAAAGTCCAGCCATCTAGATGTTGCCGGACCAACGCTCCCAGCAGCCCTAGCTTGCACAACCAGTGATGAGAAATGTTGGGAGTTGCAGTCCAACATCTGGAAGGTTGCATTGCCCATTCCTGACCTACCAAAAATCATCTTCCTTTACAACAGTGGTTTTAAGGATCTTTTCAGAGCTTGACTGGATGCAATCCCCTTCTGATCTCCAGAGCCACAGTCCAACACTCAAACCACTAGGCCAGATGGCTCACCCTTCCCTTGTCCACCACGTATAATGGTTCAATCCCATTAAGTTGTGTGTGAGTCTGTGTGTGCACGTGCGTGCGTACTTACCATCTTAATGGGGTTAACTATTAAATGTGGTGGACAAGGGAAGAGTGAGCCAGCTGGCCTAGTGGTTTGAGTGTTGGACTGTGACTCTGGAGACCAGAAGGGAATTCTGCCCAAGAGGAATTCCAAAATGTCCTCCATTTTCAGCAAGACTGAAGAAGCATACATTCACAATTGATATGTCTACACAGCTTTCATTTGGTCACGATTTCCTGGGAGGGAGCACTGCAATGGGGACCTTGGGTGCTCTGCCAGCGTCTCCCTGGCTTCTCTTGCCACTTGACCCCTGGCCTCCAGAGCCTCAGTCCAGCCCTCAAAACACTCCCCCATTCTGGCTGTCCAGCCAGGGCGAGCGCATGGCCTACATTTTCCTGGAATGCCCTCCATTTGGCAGTGCCTTGCACTGCTTTGGAGTCAGGACATCCGGCCTGGAGAGCTAGAGTGGAGGAGTGGTTTCAAGGTTGGACTGAGACTCTGAAGGCCTGGGTTCAAATCCTCGCTCAGCCATGGAAACCCATTCTGTGGGGGGACAGGGAGCACCTTGGGAAAGTTACACTCTCTCAACTTCAGAGGACGGCTATAGAAAACCACCTCTGAAACAGGTTTGCCAAGAATACTTCATGACACAAAGAAGACACACAAATAAGCACCCTTCAGATTACGCATGCGCAGACTCCCTACTCAAACGCTAGGGAAGGAAACCAACACCTGAAACGACTCCCACCAGAAGAGGGCGCCCGCAGAGGCCGGAAGTGGCGGGCCCCGAAATGCATTGTGGGACCTGTCGCGC